TTTTTTTTTTTTTTTTGCTCCATTTCTTCTTTCAAACATCATGATCAAAATTATTCACGTGATACAAAACATGTACTAGTAGATAACCTTTTTCTAATTTGAACATCTCAAGATAGGCGCCAAACTCTATATATCACCAATAATTCCAAAACCAAGAAGTTGGATCATGAAATAAAATCATGACAGGCCATAATATTAGATGACCAAGGAAAGCTTCTAAGGACTAAAATTAACAATCACCCGGCCAGATATATACACACATATATATACACAATCAGATTCATCAACATTCAGAATATCTTATCAAGTTCTTCAATTTCTGTTCCAACTCAGTAAGATCCACGCTTCTCACGCCACTCACAGCCTGTAATTACACACACACATGTACACTTATCAAACTATTTCCTTATTTCAAGTTCATATCATATACATACTTAGCAAACAGTAAAAAGAAAAATATATTACCTCGGATTCAATGGTGTGAAGAAATCTTTCGTTGACTTTAGCGGAGACGCAGCTGACGACGTTAAGCCCTTCTGCGACCAGAACTTGAAGGACTGTCGCAAGTGGAAGCCCTTGTTTAAACGCCGTATTTACGACAACTTCAACTCCTGCCTTACAATGTACAACACTAATTGTGGTTTCTGAGTTTTGATCATGATCAGAGGCAATATCATCACCAATGCTACTACTTCCGCTGGGAGTGGATACAACTAAATATTTGGAGAGCTTTCTTAACTCATCTCTTTTTTCACTCAACTTTTCGATCTTTTTTCCCAAGTCTTTTATGTGATTTGCTGCTTCATGTATTTGATCGGATATAGACCTCTTTCCCTGAAATTAGTACCAACATTATTACTATACTTAAGTGTTAAAACGAATTAATTAGTATAATATTTTTATTAAAAAAATTCACTTGAAAAATTGATCAGCGAAAGTACTAATTATATTTTACCTTGAGATATTCAAGAGGGATTAGAGACCGTAGGGAATCATAAAGGGCAGCCATTTCTCGTCTTCTTTGCTTTTCAGTCTCTCTATGTACGACCTTCTTCTTCTTCTTGTCACCATTAGGGTTTTGGTGATGATCATCATGACGGTGATTATCTTTTTCGCAGAAGGGGACAATGGATTGTCTACGGCGCTTGAGGGAAATTAGGTCATGGCCGTCCTGAGAAGCCGCCGGCGGGTAAACTTGATCATGATCATCTTCATGGATTTCATGGTGAAGATGGTATTGATGATCATTTTGATATAATTTGCAGTGAAAAGTGGAGATAAGTTGGAGAAGCTCTTGATCTGTGGCTTGGTCATATTGGAACATGGAAGGAATATAATCCATGTTGTAATATTGCCCCAAATTAAATCTTCTGTGCTTCTCTCTCTCTCTCTCTCTCTCTCTCTCTCTCCACCCTTTTTTGTCTCTCAAAGTGGAAGTCCAGATAGGAATATGCTTATAATTATTTGGGCATGAAATCTTTTATGGGGCCAAAGGGTCCAAGATTTTGTTGTGATTTATATTGAATTGTCTCTCGAGGTCTGACCTCACCCTACCTAGATATCTACTACAGTTACTCCTAAGTTTTTGTTTTCAAAGGCACTGTGCATTTAGACGACAGGGAATAAATACCACACGCGCTATATTCATTCACACGTGAGAAACTATTTTTGCCTAAGATAGATACGGACTAACTAGACCTTTAAATCTACACATTTTAAACGTGGGATTTTTCATTAAATATAAAAGGGGGGAAAAAAGGAAAGAAAAAATGGGCTTAGGTATAATTAATTGTTGAAACAGTCTATCTATTAAAGGGAATGAATGGTAAAAAGTTATCAGACATGTATGCATGTTGTGTTTGATAATCATCATCACTAATCCCAAAAGTCTTAAAAGTTTTTCACATTTCTTTTTTTGTTCACATATTGTAGTCGAATTCTGCATTTAATGGTAAAATCACAAAACCGAGCTAAGACAATATTATAATTAATAATTACGGTTGTAACTAAAAAAGGAAAACAAAGTACAATAATATCAAGAAGATCTTCTATAAAATGGAAGATTAATCAGTTGTTGCAGAAGTGGAGGGATCTTTACGACTGAGCATGATCAATAAAGTTAAAGAAAAAATAGAGAATTTACCCATTACTCTTGATAAATATCCTTTTATTAGTATAATTATTTGACTAAAAAGGTTATGAATCATTATAAGTAAAAGGTAAAAATCATAATCCATACACTTTTAAGGGTATTTGTCAAGATTATCCCAAATATGTTTTATTATGGATTTTTATTTGGGCCAAGAAAACGACAATACACTCCAATGATAGAAGAGATTGTGCAGACACATATATCATATATAATTAATTTTTTATAATAACGTTATGAGGGAACATGATTAGGTTTTGATTATGGGGTTAGACCAAAGATCATATATATATTGTGAGCATATGATCATCACTAAGATGAGGATTTGGAAGTCCTACTTCATCTCTTTCTACCTGGCATCACAACCTGTAAAATATTGATGCCAGTATTATGTGCAATAAGACACGATGGATTTTCAAGTCTGCATTAGATATAAGGAAAATTAAATACTATATAAATATATATATTTTTCAGCAATACAAAAACCTAAACTTTGTGCTCCTCATAAATTTCTGTTATATTAATTTTCTTTTGATCTGTTTGCTAGTCTTTGAAGTTTCATTAATGTGTACGTACGAGTCTTTTGACTGTGTAAGTAGTCAGATTTAGGTGCTACAGAGAGTATGATTGGAAAAATTAGCTGAAATTTAAGTAAAGTGAGTGAAAGTTTATAAATACTATGTTTAGTAGGAGGGATAAAAATTAGAAAAGGAAAAAGCAAAATATTATCAAGATGAGGAAAATAAATAGAAAGGACTAAGGAGGGAGCTTTTATAATATGGGTGTACAACAAACTATTTTAACCATTAAAACCAACCAAATCAAATCAAACTAAAAGAAATCCAAACCAAATCAATTAATAATCTGTTTAGTTTGCTTTAAATTTTTAAAAAACCAATTACATTAGTTTGGTTTGTGATTTTATTCCTAAAAAAACCCAAACCAAATCAAACTAATTTTTATCTATATAATTTTCTTAAAATTATATATATTTCATATATCTATAACTTATTTATATTTAAGAAACTCTTTTATTCTAAATTTAAATAATTATAATCCTAGAAATTTTTATCATAACCTATATATACAGTACTAACAATGCTTCTGCGGTCTACCCTTAAGCTCTATCAGCTCATCTCTTCTCATTCTTCACTCCTCTAGATTTTGTTCGTGATTCTCTCTGAAGTCTTGCCTCTTTGTTAATGTGAATATATCATATATAATATTAAGTGTCTCTAATTTACCTATATTTATTTTCTTTCATATACATAAAAAAGTTGAATATCATATTCAATCATGAGTCATAACTAATATTATATAAATATATCTATAATTTAATTGCTTTGATTTCATTTTGTCTTTAGAAGAAAGAGAGAAATAGATAAAAGATGACACAAAACATTTGTACCAGTTATGTTGAGACTCTCAAGATGTTGTAAAATATTAGTTCAAACCAATTAGAAAAATCAAATCAAACCAATTACAATCGGTTTGGTTTGGATTGGATTAGATCTCTTAATTGTTATAGTTGGTTTGAAAATCTCTAAACCAATTGATAATTAGTTTGATTTGCATTTCACTTAAAATAAACGGTTTGGTTGGTTTGTACACTCCTATTTTACTAGATACTTACTTTTGGTGGAAGAGGAAAAAAAATAAAAAAAGAAAGAAAGGAATAATTAGAAAAGTGGAAATAAAATGTGTAACATAAAAGGAATAGTTTATTTTACATTTATGAAGATGAATAAGTGTGATAGGTGTGTAAATGGCTATTTGACATATCATTTATTTTGTCAATCAAATACTTTCTCCACTTTTTTCTTTCCAAATTGGTAGGATTAAGAAAGCTGTAGATTTCTAGAGGGCCGGCAAAATGAACAGCTCCTGACATCTTCTCAATTATTGCTCTCTCTCTCTCTCTACTATATTATTATTATTATTATTATTATTATTATTATTATTATTAGAGTCAAGACGACAAACATAAAACAACTCTAAGAAGAAAAAATCTGTGCCATGTCACATACATAATGCCTGTTTTCTATTAATGCGCTTTTCTTCATTTAAGAAGAAATTTTCTATTAATGATTATTATAAACACCATGTGAGTCATCCCACCCATCTATACACATACTTATAATAGTATAATGAACAGAAGAAAATATTCTATTTATATTAATGTTTATTTTCTTCTTTAAAATATATAATATTAGATTTGGATATATTCATATAATGACGGTTGGTGAAGTCCCTCGTGTGAAAGTAATTAGGATGTCGAATCATTAGTTTTTATATAAATATATCGATTATGTAATTTTATTGGTGCATATATAGCTACTTCTAAGAAAATAAAAAATTAGACAGAAGTTTGACCTTGTACAGAAACCATTTAGCTTTCCTCAGCAACCTAAAAACCATTTTTTCTTTAATGTGGTTTTCTTCTAATTATTTACTTGAAAACTAATAGTAGTCATATATGTTCAATTTGCGGCTATTGACTAATGACTGGTCGGCTGTAATAATTAAAACATTACAAAAAAATGTGCTTATTTGAATATTGCGTCTAATTATATGTTACGAAAAGATGTACTCACAATTTCTCCAAAAAAAAAAAAAAAAAAAAAAAAAAAAAAAAAAAAAAAACTTCAGCCATTTTTTTGAAAAACTGAAAACGATGGACATTAATTTAATTGAGTAGCCAAAATTGGCCACCCCACAGAATTCCCCTACAAAATGTTGGTAGCTTATAATTCTTGGAGATGGGGAAAGAAAAAGAAAGTTTGATAATACAGAGGAATGTACAATGACTTTTTGATTAAATTAAAAATAAAAAGTGGAGTTCATTTTTAATTTGGAGACCGTCTCCGGCAGGCCGTCTTACTAATAGGATCAGTTTTCTAACCGTTAAATTTAATCAAAATCAAATGAGATTGAAAAAGTATGTATAATAGACAGTTTATGATGCAGATCTAATGGTTGAAAAAATAAAACTATCAGTAATTTTATTTTTCTAATCCTATGAGAAAAACTCCATTCTAATTTTAGACGATGATTAATAATATTTAAGTTTGCCGACTAGTGATTAGAAGTAAAATAATTTTCCTTGTGAGGTTCTGGATTGCTCCAGAATATTAACAAAAATAAAGAAAAATGAAATGAGTGTTGAATTAGTAATACGTTAATTCCGCAGCATATTAATGCTTATTGTTATAAGACTTGCGCTTGGTATTTGTAGAATGAAATCAAATATGTCGAAAGGTAGGTAGTGATATGTGTTTACAATCGTTGAGTTTATTTCTTATTTGAGAACCGGGTTTTCATTCATAACATAATAGCAAATCGCTACTCTATATATTTAGGGGGAAAAACTGTACTGACGTTTTTTTTTTTTTTTTTTTTTTTTTTTTTTTTTTTTTTTTTTAAAGAAAATTGAGAGTATATCTTGTTCACATACTTTTAATATTTTATCCGAATGTCACATCAGAATCATATGTTAAAAAAAATACAAACTTAACAATATTTGACGAATATCTAACATCTCTAGCATATTATACATATTTAAGAATAATAAGAAGAATGCCACAATGCCACAAGCGACATTCAATTTTGGATTTATAATACTCTCGTTGGTTCTCCACACTAGAGGCTAGATTAAAGACCAATAAAATGTGTATTTTCGAAATTGCCACGCGAGTCAAAGGTAATATAATAGATTACTACCAGTAATCTACCATATGTTACCAAAACCAACAGTGAGATGATCGACAGTTACAAGTTACCGGCGCGTAATCCCAACAATCCATCTTATTATTTTGTTTTTTGTACACAAAATTCCGGTCATCTCCGGTATAAATTGTTATTGTGTAATCTAGTAGATTAACAACAGTAATCTAGTAGACTAATTCCACCCCCCAAAAAAGAACACAAACGCAAAATTTCAAGTGAAATTTAAACATAACCGAATATCACATACTTCAAATTTCACGAAGCTTCAGTGCCATTAATCCATTTTTTCTTTTGCACTTCACATTTTTTAGGGAAATGAGACAAAATGTCTCCTTAAAATGTTTCTATCTAGATTTTTACTTCTTATTCTTAGTCAATATCATTTTAGTCAAATAACTATATTAATTAAAAGGGTATTAATCAAGAATAGTAGGTAAAAATTAAGACATATATACTTTTAAGGGTAGGTTTAGTAATGAGAAAATTAGTGAACTCACCCTTTAAATACATTGTTTTAAGATTTTTACTATTTACTCTTAATTAATACTATTTTGACTAATATAGTTTTTTAATAAAATGTATTAATCAAGTGTAAGGATAAAAATTCAAGACTCATGCGTTATAAACAGTATTTATCTTTTTTCTCTTTTGTAATTCTCTCCTTTTTATTCTTTGTGTTTGGGCCAGAAATGAAAAAGTACGGCTCAATTGGTTTCTACTATGTTTGAATTCTCTCATCCGGAAAAAGGGGGTAAACATGCTGTTAAAGAACTTAAGTGTATGAGTTTAAATTTTCACATATTATTTTTTATTAATATTTTTTTAATCAAATAATTTTATTAGTTTAAGAGTATTAATCAAAAAATAAGGGATAAAATGCACTTTAGTAATTCTCTCATCCATTCAGTTCTTTTTTCTCTGTCTTTTTTAAATCCCACTGGGCCCAACTAATATCTCGATTACCAGATCAGTCCATGATTTCTTATCACGTTTCATTTGAAGTACAATCACAACAGATAGTTGGACCTTTACGGTGGAGTAAGCCTTGTTTGGTCAGTTGATTTGAATTTTATTAGTTTAAATTTTTTTTATTTTGTGTGGTTTAAATTGTAGTTTGAATTGATATTTTTATGTATAGTTAAAATTTTAATTTAAACAGAAAATAAAATTTGAATTAGTATTTAGTAGGTGTAAAAAATAAAGAGAGTGAGCATTTTTTACTATTTAAAAATGGTTTGAATAATTGAACTTGAGGGAAAGTTAAACTCTAAGTTGGACTGCTTAACTCAATGTAAATGAAAAATATAATTCAAATTACATACTTACTAAACGTCATTTCAAACTGTGTTCACTATTTAAATTGAGTTAAATTGAACAAAACTAATAAAACAAACATAACCTAAAGTTATTTTACTTTACTATTGAGATAAATATTTTCAACCGTTAAATTAATTTTTTTAATAATTAGATTATACATATCTATATTAAAAAATTTTAACACACTAACTATTTTTAGTGTAAATTTAACCGTTAAAATATTAATCTAAACATAAAAACACTTACTCCAACGGCAGTAAAGACTACCCAGCAGATAATTCCTTTGACTTTTCGCTTCAATTTTCAATCACCATCTGTTCTGACTAGATAATAATAAAATCATAGAGCAACCGAGCGACACCTTTCCCATCAGCGGTCCACTAATCAGAACCGACAGTGACGAGTAATCGAATTCTCGTACATCTCACAGACAAAAGTAACAAATATCACCCGGATTCCACACCACCGAAAGAAACCATCCTCGACGTTCAATCGTTGTTCACCCTCACCTGCAGGTAACTATAGCAGGAGAGATATCAGATAATCGGAATTTCATTTTTCAATTAAAAATAACAAAAAAACTGCCCGGAAACTAGGGCTCGGAAATCACTTTAGCAGTTCAGCTTATCGACGTTACTCAGACACTCACTATAACATAACATTCTTGTGCTCGCTTCTCTCTCTCTCTCCCCGACAACGCAGTTCTTTCGATTTCTCTCTCTACAAAGGTAAGCTTTTTTTCTCTCTCCACTCTCTTTAGCTTTCGTTGAAAATCTTACTGATGTTTATTACTTTGTTTCGCATTGGAAGAATTTGAATTTCATTCGAGTTTGTTAGTATTGATTATTGAGGAACTGTTGGAACTGAAACGCCAAAAATTGAGCAATTGAATCGCATTTTCCTTTCCATTTTGTTGTTTTTATGAGCGTATGAATTTTTCGAGCAATGCGTATGAAAAGTGACACTTGAGATAGAAAATTTGTTTTATCTTGGAATTTTTCCAGATTTTTTGGAAAGAAAAAGGGGAAATTGAGCGACGTAGTGGAACTTTACTACTTTCCTATTTTGTGTTACCAATAATTATGCTAATTTTTCGCAGAAATGAATATATTGATATAGTTTAGTTAATACTCCCCTTTTTTTCGTGTTTTATTTAATTATTTTGCTTGAAGTTGTCCTCTGTTATATAATTTTTGTGTTCATATCTGCATTTGCAATGTTGTTGGTTGATAGGGATATGTCTTCTGATACTGCGAAGGAAAATGCTTCGGTAGTTGATTCGTCAGTGACGGAATGGAAACAGGACATGGGGAATTCAGATGATCCTGGTAAATTAAATGATGAAGGTGCCTTTTATTTATACTTTCGAATTCTTGTACTTAAATTGGTCTGGTCTAAGTTACTTGTTCGAAAAATTCAGTCTTTACATTGGATATGCATGAATCGTTTGCCAAATCCAGTAATTTAGTTGAAAATTCAGTTTAATTTGTTACTGTGATGTCACAAGTTATTTTTTTTTTCTCTTTTTTCCTTTTGTTTCTCAGATTACAAGAATTGATAACTGCAATTGATGTATTGTTTAGACGCATCTCTGTATCCAATGAATCAATTATACAGAGGGTAAATTAGTTTGTAGCAACTGTGCCAAACTATAGCCAGAATATCCACATCAGAAACCACAGCCGCTAGTTTTTCAGTTGAATAACAACGATATTAGGGATTGTTCCCTCAAAAAAAAAAAAAAAAAAAAAAAAAAATTTAGGGCTTGTGTTACTTCATACTTGGTGTGATTTTTTTCTACATTTGTCTCTGTTCGTATGTAAAATTGGACACTCTTTATGAACATACCTCTACAGCTCTACTTTGATAGTCCATCTTCACACTAATTCATTTATTCTTTTGTTTGTACTTCAAATGATTTGAAATAAGTAGCTAGATTGATTTTGATGAGTATTCATTTATATGCTTTGTACTTGCAACTTTGCAACATCCATATTTTCCATTACTTTCTCTCAATTTGTCATTTCAAAATTATATGCATTAACTTGTGAATTATGTATATTTCTTTGTAGAGAGCTCAAGTTATAAAGGTGACCATAATGGTGATCCTTCTAGGGAAAAGCAAGTGGTTGAAAATCATGAATGTGTTGCTGATTCAACTGCAACCAAAAGGGGTAAATTGTATGACACTAGGTATTTTATCATAAAGAGTTTGAATCATCAGAACATCCAACTATCCGTTGAGAAAGAAATTTGGGCTACTCAAGTCATGAATGAACCAATTCTGGAAGAAGCCTTTCATGTAAGATTCTTGTATTCCGATATTTTGCTTTGCTTGCCATATTAGTTTTTTATGGAGAAGCATGTACTTGTCTTGCAGAATTCTAGTAGAGTAATCTTAATATTTAGTGTCAACATGAGTGGTTTCTTCCAAGGGTATGCCCAAATGATGTCTTCTGTTGGGTGGAGGCGAGATAATGTTTGGAGCCAAGGGAGTGGTAAATCTAATCCTTGGGGACGCAGTTTTAAGGTCAAATGGCTACAGTTAAATGACCTACCTTTCCAAAAAACTCTTCATCTCAAGAACCCGTTAAATGACTATAAACCAGTAAAAATTAGCAGAGACTGTCAGGTGTGTTCTTTATGTAGTATTTAGTGCTTTCTTGTTGTGTTAGACTGTTAGTATATAGACATTGTGTTAATTTGAAATCCTCTATTCTTTCCAGGAGTTATCTCCCGATATTGGAGAAGCTCTCTGTGAGCTTCTTGATGGCAAGAGTAATTTTGATAGCCTGCAGATTAGGTAACGTATTTAGATAGCCGAAAGCTAATATTCTTGCAACTCTGTCCATTTTAAATTGCATTAGTATTTATTTTTCTTTTTGATTTTTGAGCTATTTCCTCAGGGATGAATATCGTTCGAAAAGGCCCTGTATGGAACCTCCGTGTTCATTAGGAGATGAAGAGTATAATGCGCCCCCAGTGCATCCTTCATGGTCTCAGTCACCCATGCTTTATTCTTCATTAATGTACCAACATCAGACTGAAGCCATTAGATATCAGTTAGCCCATGGCAGAACTAGTGGGGTTACATTTCCTGGAAACTTTAATGTAAATTCTGCAGCGTCAAAAGTTACAAGGATGAAACACTCTTCCAACAATGGGTATCTTCCTAATACACAAATGGATAGGGATGTGGCTTCTCGATTTGATTTGTGGGGCATTAGTGCAGAAAGCCCCCGGGCTAGTGTTCTGACAGAGGACGACTTTCTTGAAATGGTATTATGTATCTCGGTTTCTTTAATTTGTGCCTCTGATTATGTCTGACCCATGTCAAGTTTTGAGCAAAATCTTCCCTTTTTCTTAAAGTAATTTGGAGACATAAAAAAGACATTTCTATCTGGATACTATTAGAAGATCATTCTGTGTTTTGTGGACCACCATTTTTGACCTTTTGAAGAGGGACTGGAACTTTTCCAAAGTCCTTTAATATTCATTGGTACTGGGTATTTCATGAAGCTGAATCAGCACGCTCTAGCGAACTAGAAGTTGTATCCTTATTAGTATTCAGCTTTGCCTGGTTTGTTCAAATTGCTGCAGCATTATTGCTGTAAAAGAATTGAAGTGGCTCTGGGTGTTATTACGTTTCAATGGTTCCATATGAAATTTATATTTACCTGTCATATGAATTCTCCATAATAACTAGCTTTTTCCGGACCCTTTGTTGCAGTCTTACGAAGAATACCTCGAGGCTCATAGCAGAAGCAGCAAACAATTATGTCTTCCTGTCAGTATTCTATCTCACAAACATCTCACTGATTTTTATGTCATTGCCTTACATACGTGCCTTTTAAGTCATGCAATTTTTTGGTCTCCACCAAGTACCAGCAAGTACTGCATCTCTTTGCTTGCTTTTAGGGAGTTGAGAGTGTAGGTTTTTCGTTAGGCTCAAATTGAATAAGCATTGCGGAACATGTCATAAAAGAAGAAGAAAACCGTTGAATGATCTACATTCAAATTACTGCTTCCTTGTTACAACTGTTTTCTTTTTAGATTGACATCTATAGTTCTAAACAACCACATGATCATCTCGGACTTGAACACCCCATTGACGTTACGGAACAATCATTCCTGTTACACTTGAATATTCGGGGTTTAAAAAAAAAATGCTTAACAAAATTCAGGGGCCACTCACACACCCTATTTTAAAAAATAAAATTTATTGTGTAAAGTGGGAGCCATAGGACCCACACCGTATCAAAAAAATAAAATCCAGGGGCCATCATGGGACACAGATCATACTTCCGGGGCCCAAAAGTGGGATTTGGCCAATTTTCTCTACTGGAACACAAATTAATCATTTGACGTAAATCCTGATTTATCTTGAATACTAGCAGTTGTTTTGCCAAGCCGACTCATTTCCCCACTCTGGCAGGCTTCTGGACCTTCACGAATGAAAGAGGACTCGTCAAGAAGCAAAAAGCAGGACGAAGATTTGTATGTCAATCCTTTCTGCTTAAGAACCTGAAAATTCTTATTTGTCTCCACTCTCCATTAGTTAAGCTTGGTGATATGTATGTTTCAACAGAAGCTCGAGTTATGGAAGTGACAGGGGATGCTCAAGGAAGAGGACTCATCATTCATCCCAGAAATAATAAACTCCTAGTGTACTTTTGTGTTTTTTTTTTTAATTTTTAATTTTTTTTTAATTTTTTAATGGTAGTGTTATCCTAATCCCTAGAATTGGGACTTGTTTTGTTGTTATATGTTGTACAAATGTGTACCTTATAATGACGATTCGTAACAACAATTTACTGAGGTTCGTTAGCCAACCTGTACATAAATTGAATTGGCTTCATTGCCCCTACTTTTACGTTTTTTTTTTCCCTTGTTGAGGTTAGGGACGATGTTGCTCTGACGCACTGTTTGTGTATATACATAGAATTAGTTGAGTGACAAGATAATTAAGTAACGTTTGTCATATTTTATGGCATTAGTTAGAAATTTAGGAGACGTTTGGTTCATGGATTAGAATTATAAGATTATAATCATTTTCGATTTACGTGTATTTTTTTAAGAAAAAATACTGTAGCGAATCATGATTCGAATTAGAGTATAAATTTCCCAACTAAACAACCCTTTATTCTCGTTTCATATTTATTTTGAGTGACATTAAGAAAACCAATTTCTTTACTAAGGGCTGGACTATTTTTTATTATTATTATTATTATTATTATTATTATTATTATTATTATTATTATTTTGGGTTGAGGACTATCTATGTTATTTACACCTTGATTAAGTTGGATTTGTTCCTTTTAATAGTTTCAATAAAGCATTTAATAACTTTTGGGCATAAAACAACTCAAACTTTCAAATTTCATCTGGTAATAATTATAACCTACTCACTTACAATATATAGATAATTAGTAAATGAAAATGGAGTATTCCACTCATGTATTCTTTTGTTCCAGTCCTATCTCATTTATTTATCTTCAATAATATCAAGTCATGTCAATTAAATGATATATCAATTAATCTATCATATCATATCAATTGAAATGACATGCTAATTAAAATATTTTAATTGATATATTATTGGAGGGTTTTGCTTCATACTCCTGAACCTATAGTGACAATTAGAATGAAAATTAACTTTTAAGTTCCTTCTCTTTTCAATTTAAGATTTTTACTTAAACATAATAGAAATATTTTATCGTATTTAACTTTGTAAATTTATTAGGTTCCCTTAAATTTATACACATTTTTTTATACTGTAATAACATATAATTATCTGAATTTTATTAATAGAGTGAATTCGCTTTAAACCTAATGGGAGTAAGAGATGCAATACTTTAGTTTTTTAGTTTTTCCTCTTGGCTATTATTCTTAGTTTTATGCATTTTTTTTCCATTATGCTAATGGTAAAAGTAAACCATGTCTATTCCTTAAAAAAAAAAAAAAAAAAAAAAAGGTAAACCATGATCGAGAAACCTTTTCCCCTCAAGGATTAACGAGACAATACATTAACCTTATTAATTAAAAAAAAAAAGTAGTCTTTTCACTTTTTGATGTAGATTGTATTTTTAGTTCGCTTGATTTATTTATATAATATATATGTTAGGGTCTCTCGATTTCAATAGATTGGAAGTTTCCATCAATAATAAAAATGTTGTTGAAAGAGCTATATGTGTTCTTATTATAGTTTGTCTATTTTGGTATATCTTTTTAAAATTTCATACACTTTTATCTTCTTCCAGCATTTTATTCTAATTTATTGATGGAACTCAATTGTTAATCATGATCAGGAAGATTTTCCTATAGTTTGAGACCAAATAGGTCAATATTTTCCTGAGCAGAAATATATTCCCCTTTCAAATAAACAAATGAAATCTTGTTATTTTCTCTGTTTTTTTTTTTTTTGGGCAATTCACATTGACACCTCCTGTGTTTTGTCAAAATAATAGGGACACCTCCTTGACCGAAACTAATCACGTCAACACCGCTTAAATTTTGAAAAAAATTACACTGACATCCCCACTGTCAGTTGACCATTACTGTTGACTGTTTACTTTTGAAAAAAATGCCAAAAATACCCCTTCATGCACAAGAAAACATTTTTAAGCAATGTATAATACTAGAAATGTCAGTTTCACTCTTATTTGACAAAAAAAAAGTGAGTTTAATTGATTTTTATACATTTTATTCAAATTTTCACTCTAATGTAGATCTTTTTAACAAACAGAAAAAAAAATGTTTGTTATTGTTCCTTTGTTAATCAGAAGTCCCTGGTGAAACACCCACCTTCTCAACAGGAACCACCACAAACAACATTCTTTTTTGCTGAATATTGTCTAGTCTAGTGTATTTCCGTAACGCCATAACTCTCTTTTTTCAACTAAACAAATAAAAAAAAAGGGGTAATTTGTACCGCTAATCACTTAATTATTTAGTAGGTGACACTTTGGTCCCCTTTCTTTTAATTTTGATAAGACAATCCTTAAACTCTTTAAACATTAACAATTAAGCCCTTTCCATTATAATTAGTTAAGTTTTTAACAGATTGTATACGGAAGGGTACTTTGGTAAAATAATAATATATAAAATTAACAAAAAATTGAAGATAAAAAAATCCTCCCAAAAAAATTGTAGATGTTTTGAGGGAAAAGCTAAAAAGAAAAAATATAGAATCAGAAAGAGGGAGAGGGAGATGGAGAGAGAGACGAGTTGGCACAAGGGAAGGGCCGCGACGGGAAGGGATTATAGGGGGAAAAGGAGATCAATAAGGCGAAGGCGGCGACGATCTCCCGATGGTTGGAGCAGGATTGGGTTGCGATAACTGTGGCAGGGTTGGCCGCGACCAGCAAGAAGAGTAAAGTGAGATTTGAGAAGACTAGAATTTGAAGCTCTTGAGAAGAAGAGAAGCGAGAAATGCTTTCGTTTTATCTCCATCGAGCGGGTCTTGGAGTCAATTCAATTCCAATGATTTCAAGAGAAGGCTTGGACCGAGTTTTTTTTTTTCCTTAAAACTGTAAGGATACAGCGTGCTGTATCTAAGTGAGAATAATTGCATCTATAGATATTAATCATTACGTTGAGGCTATAAGTATTATTGGTAGAGTTGTATTTAGTAAGTCTCCATCATAAAATTTGTCTAAAACTTTTTCAAGGAGAAAGTCACAAAATCAAAGAAAACAAAAGCCATTTACACATGAAATTAGATTTATACGTTTCAAATTGCTATCCCCGAAACTTTTCTTTATGTTATATGTATACAGTATTTTTTTTGGCTAAAATATGTATACAGTATTTGTTTATTGTGCAAAGGAAGGAAAAAAAACAAGGAAAAAGAAGGTTAAAGCAGGCTCCTTTTACATGCCTAGTCATTCTCTTAAATTGTCATATTTATTCTGTTGATATTGCGTTAATTACGAGTTTTTTCAGTTTTGATTTAGTGTTGCTGAAGCAAATTGGTTTTTGATTCGTGATTAATCTGATTATGTTGAAAATATATGCTAATTTTGAGACATTTTTAAATTTTTTTTTATCTCTTCATAATCTTACAGTGTTTAAAATTAAAAGTTTACTGCTAAGCAATTTCTAAGGAGTATTTAGATTTTTTTTTTGGGTTGAAATATTCAGACGATGTTGTTATTTATGATTTTGTCTGGGTTTCCTTTTATGTGGATTATGTCATTGTGTTAAGTGGGTTCGAGGGTAATTTGGTATTTCCACTTAAAAATAGGCATACATGATGGGTTGCTGTAAAAATTTATTAAAATTTAACAGCAAGGACTTGATTGCTAATATTTAGAGAGTTTAAAGATCGCTTTATTAAAATTAAAAGAAAGGAAATTAAAATGTCGCTTATTAAGGAATTGAAGGATCAACCGGACAAATTACCCTAAAAAAAAGACACATAAAATTTGAAGCTAAGTTTTATGAAAACAATTTACCACATTTTAATTCTGATCCATACAGGTATACCAATTAAGCATTAAAAACAGAATCGTAAATTGAGCTCATCAACGGCTTAGAAAATTGGAAAAAAAAATAACAAAAACAAAACTTTTTTTAATGACCAATTACATAATAAAAGTTCTCAATTCTCAGCATTTCAATAAGATTCAAAAACGAAAAAAAGTGAATAACATCAATCAAATATAATGGATCAGATCTAAAACGAAATTACATTGATCTAATAAGCTGAAGAGGTGGCGAGGGAAGGGAGATGATCGAGGACGTTTGGTTAGAGGATTCAAATTATGTGATTCGAACCATTTTTGATTTACGTGTATTTTTTGTGAGATAAAATACTGTAACGAACTACGAATCATAATTCGAATAAGAGAACGAATCCCTCTACCAAACATCACCGAAGACGCGTCAACGTCTATAGTTTCCCACTATTGCCAAACGTGTAATAAGCTCAAGCCCACCCTTTGATTAGACGTCTAATAAGCTCAAACCCACCCTTCGATTTCCCTCTGTGCACGGTTTCCCACAACGCCCTTTCCTTTGCCGCCAATATCCACCGCGAACTCTTCCCCACGCCCAGCCCATCATAGATGATTTTTTTGTCTTTGGTTGTTTTTTCCCTAAAAGTTTTTTTTTTTTTTTTTTTTCGGGTTGGAATAATGTAATCCAAAGGAGATCTTGATTTGTTTCAGAATAATGTTTTTTTTTTCCGGAGAATGTGATGTACCTGATTTTTTTAGAACAATATTAATTGTTTTTTTTTTTTTTTTTTTTTTTTTTTTTAGATAAAATTGATAGAATTTAGGGGCCGTTCACTTCACTGATTCGAGTTTGTAATTCGAGTTGAGATGTGATTTTGTGTGAGAGCTTTTTACTGTAGCAAAAAAGTTAGATGTTACTGTTTTTGAGAGCTTTTTACTGTAGCAAAACTCGAATTCTAAACTCGAATCGGCGAAATGAACGGACTAAATATTAACATAGTTTTTTCTTTTTTTTATCCTTGAAATATTTTTTTTGCTGAAATAATATCATTGAAATAGTTTATTTATATTACTTTCCACAACATGATGCTTCTAATTTTTGGGATAAATACGTTTCTGTTTGAATGCTAAATGGATGGAGATATTTCTAACATCTCCTAATGTTATAAGTATAAATTGTTTGATGATTGCACAAATTTTTTTTTCTTTTTTTTTTTTTTGTCATTAGAGTGAAAGTTAGGATCACAAGTGTATAAAATCAATTAAACTTAATTTTTCATGCTAAACAAGGGTTAAAACGTCATATATAGCAACATATGTAGATAAAAACATTTTTTTATGCATGAGGGTATTTTTAGCATTTTAAAAAATTTAACGGTTAATTTTCGGTTAATTTTAACAACTAAAGAGGTCCCCTTTATTACTTGAGGACTGTGGTACATAACCACACACACACACACACGCATATATATATATATACACACACACACACACACACACACATACACAGTTTGGTTGGGTGTTTGGGCTGCAGAGTAGTCTGGTGGAGTTCTCTGCAAAAGCTGTGGAAACTCCAATGGAGTTGACACACAACAACAATCCAATTACCAAAGACGAAGTCGTCGCGAAGCTCAAAGACGACGGCGACTTCGACAAGCTTCGCCTCAAGATCATTCGCAAGCTCAAGGACGATGTTAGCATCCCAAAACCTCCATTGTTTCTTCTGATTCTCTCTCTCTTAGGGTTTTGGTTTTGGTTGTTTCTGCATTCGTTTCGATTGATGTAATCGTGATCATATAGAACTTTAGAGAATCTCGAAATTCCGTGTTGAAGTTGTTCAACTGGTCTGTTTAGTTTAGCATTCTCTGTTTGGTTCCGTGGAAAGTTCCTTTTATTATTATTATTATTTTTTTTTTTTTCAAGTTTAAAGCCTAATTTTTGAGTTAGGGTTTCTGAACAAGGCGATTATTTGTGAGCAGGAACAATTGCGCGAGAATCTTAGTTCCATTGTGAGGCAATCGGCGGCGCTTGATCGTTTGGGTGCGGAGAATTTGAAACCTAGACAACTTTCGGATGCGATATACCAAGAGGTCGGGTATGTATGTTTTAATCAAAACTTTTGAGATTTCTGTGATTCTAATGTGTCTCTCTGGGTTTGTTTTATGATGGTATTTTGTATATGATTATTTCATTAAAATAAAAATTTGTGTAATTTCCCTTGAGAGATGAGTTTTTGAAGGAATTTTATCCTGGAATGAACGGAATTTTGATTTTTTGAGATGGGGGTTTTCTAATTATTCCATGATTCTAATCAATTTGTTAGGGACAAATTGATGGGCCAGATTTCTGATGGTTTGTGGGGAATAATTAGATCAAGTGATGGCATGAGCAGTGAAATATCAGAAACTGTTCAGTCTGTCTACAACAGGCTGATGGACGCGAAAGGGTTTTCAAACCAGGGGCCAGTTCAAAAGGAAGATGGTGAAAAGCATTCGGCACTTGCCCTAGGCAATGAAGTTGATCATATGATGTCGGACAGTAATGAGCCGAATGAACCGCCGGGATTCTCTCTTGCCTATAACCATCCAAAGAACGGGAATGAGAATTCACAGCCGTCTTTTAGGCAAGAAAAAATATCTGTGGAAGAGCAGCAGGAAGGGCCCTTGACATTGTTACAGGTTAGGCAGGAGCTCAATAGTGTTGATACGGAGCACAAGCAGGCTGGTGACTGTAGTGATGAAGACCCTGATGTGCCTCCTGGTTTTGGCTAATGTGTTAACTTGCAACTCTGAGAGTCACAAGTGTATGAATTTACCAGTGAAGGTAGGACATAACAAGAATGAATCATTCAACCTGAGAAAAGTTTTCTTGTTTCCAATTTCCAACAACCCTGGAAGTTTTTACAGCCAATATTGCCAGATCATAAATCGGATGTTTTATCAAGCTTCCCCTGATTACTGTACTTCTGGGTCTGCTTTTCCTTTTGGCCTTATATTAAATTATTTATGGGGGAAGAGAGCCCTTTGGCAAGTAAACTCTTCTTTCTTTCTGTCCTTTATTTTTTAGTATTATTTTTTTTTTTTTTGCTACTGTATAGTGCCATAGTTTTTTTTCTCTCTCTCTCTCTTTTGTCTTCCCTTCTTTCATAATTAACAAACAACCAATGTGCAAATTTAGGATATGGAGCATCAAGAAATTTTGCCAGTGGACACTGAACGATTAACTGTGGTAATTCAGATTTCTGGAGTTGTACGATTTATTCAATGGAAAGAAACGTAGAGAACTGATATTACAAGTATGCCTTGTCAGTGACAGTACAAGTCACTGCTTTCCTACCATGCATCTGTTTCTCACTGAAACTTAACAGAAATCGGACTCCTAACACAGTGCCTGGCAGAAACCCATGTTAAAAATCCTTGACCATATGGACCCGTCTCACCACTTGAAGTAATGCGGCTGAAATTCACTGAGTAGGTTGCCTTCTGGTTCACTTTCGAGAAGTAAAGCTTGCTGGGTTTGACACTTACGTAGACTCCATCTGGTGCCATAATATTGGCTGTATAAGTTGAATATGCCTCACCAACATTTGTCACTGTACGTGTGAACGTCTGAGATGGTCCTAGTGTGACAGAAAATGAAGGGTAGTTCAGCTCTCCTTCAGGTATGCTTGGTTTTTCTGAGCATTTTATTGGTCTACGTGCAACGATCCCAACTTCCTTATCGTTGTAGCCCAGGCCACATAGGTAAGGAATGTAGTCATCGGGTTGAAGATCATAGATCAGTCCCGGGTCATTGGCTTTTATTGGGTTGACATGCCCTGCACCAGTAGCAAAGACATCTGCAGGGGTAAGTGCTTGATCAAGAATGGCTTTGCCCTCAAGATTTACGATATCAGCGGTGGTCATTATAGCAGATTTAATGGCAGCTGGTGACCAGTAAGGGTGAGAGCTCTTGAGCAAAACTGCTATTCCGCTGAGATGTGGGCATGACATTGATGTGCCAGACATTATGTTGAAAGGGGATTTTGGATTTGTGTTGTTGTCAAGAGGGAATGGCCAAGCTGCTAGAATGCTGACGCCGGGTCCAATGATGTCAGGTTTTAGAATACCTGGACTTGCCAGGTTAGGGCCTCTTGAAGAGAAGGAAGCAATGAAAGGAGCTAGTGAGTCTCCGATGACAGTTCCTTTGAAGAAAAGTGTTGCAGTTGGTGTTGCCGTTGAGTTTATGTAGGCTTTGATCTTCAGTCCATCTGCAAAGCTGACATGTGCTGCAGGAAGAGCATGAGGATCTGCTTCTGTGCTGAAACCGTCACTTTCTTGGTTAACGAGAATCATTGCAGCTCCCCCGGCATTTTTCACTTCTTCCCCCTTGGCAATTCTTCCCACTCCACCTCCTCTCTCACAAAGCACCACCTTATTCTTGACATCAATATCTTTCAACGACCCTTCGGCACAAAACGCAGAATCTGCTTTGCCATTGATTCCAGCATAAACAAGAGGCCACGACGTTTGAGGAAAATCTCCTCTGTGGATAGATTCACCATCGAATTCTTCATCATTTCCCAGCTTTGCTGTGGCTATAATTTTTCTGTCTATGGTGCTTGCTCCAACTGTGAGAATCCAAGGGGCTTCGTTAGATAAAGTGCTGTTGACTGGGCCAGAATTGCCTGCTGAGCAGCTTACGAGAATTCCTTTTTCGGTTGCTGCAAAGGCACCTATAGCAAGGCTGTCGTTGAAAAACGGACGCGACACGTCACCAAGGGAGAGTGAGAGCACATCTACACCATCCTCAACAGCTGCATCAAGTGCAGCTAGTATATCGGCATCTGGACAGTCTTCTCCAAAGCACACTTTGTAAATCGCCAAATGAGCGTATGGTGCCATCCCAACAGCAGTGCCTTTGGCGTTTCCTAGAACATCTGCATAGTTCACAAATCCACCAGCAGCCGTACTTGCAGTGTGAGTCCCATGCCCATCCTCATCAATTGGTGGCTCAGCTTTATCTCCCTTTGTTGCCTTGGCTGCCAAATTGAAAGACCTTGCACCAATCAATTTGTTGTTACAATCTGACACGTTGAAATCACACCTTCCCTTCCATTTAGCAGGCGGAGGCGGCATTCCCTCATCGCTAAACGAAGGATGGCTGGGGAAAATTCCGCCGTCCAGTACCCCAATTATCACCCCCTTTCCGAAATTCGAATCTCTCCAGAAGCCCTTTTGCTGGTGCAACCCGAGGAAGTTGGGGGTGTGAGTTGTCAGTTTCTTCAATATTCTTTCAGGACGTGCTGATATGAAGCCATCTTTGCCTTCCATAGCTCTCACTTGGTCCTGAGTTAGCCTTGCTGCGAAACCCCTCAACACGTTTCGGTATGCGTACAGCATTCGTGGCTGGTTGTCTGAGCTCGCAGCAGTTGTAGCCGGCAAAAAAGACCTGTACCAGCTCTCCAAGTCTTCTGATTGGGAAAGGACTCTGCCCTTTGGTGGCTTCACGTGAATAATATAATTTTGCAAACTGCTCGATTCGGTAGTTTGAGAGACTGATATTACTTCACTTTGCAGTGCAATGACATGAAAGAAGTTGAGCACAAAAATGAAGGAGAGTAAAGAAGTGGTGGCCATGTTGAACAAATTGCCCTTCTTTTCGAAGTAGATGAAGGTGATAAAGCTGAGTTTTGCTATGTCGAAGGTGTTTGCCACACCTGCATATATATAGGAAGAACCAAAGAAGAGCACTGGCCGGCATTTTGTACCAGTTTAACACTTTCATCGTCGGATCCTTTTGGTGCTTGGGGGAATTTTGCATAATTGCAGCTTTGTTAATGATCTGGTTAAGGGAAAAACTATTCTCTGATTTTGCTTATCCTTGGGACGGCTTCAGAGATACTAGTTAGTTTTGTTTTATTGCCATGCCAAGCTTGTTTATGTCTCAGCATTTCGACGACCAAGTCATGGGTAGATCAATTTCTTCTAGAACTTGTAGACTGGGAAAACTTTTAGACTAGTTGTTTGATAATTTTCTTTTTGGCTGGAGCTTGGAACTTCTTGCAAATTTTGATTCCCTGCATTCTTAAGAAATAAAAGGAAAGGTATTTTAATGAAAATAATGATCCATTTGTGTTATTTATATTTGCTACACAATGATATGATGACACGATCTGTTTGGCTGTATTTTCAGCACCAATCACAATCAGAGTCGTTAGAAATGGTAGAACGTTTCATATTTTAACCAATTTCCGTTTTGCCATTTTGTCTATCTTCTAATAATTTGAGTGATAATATATGCTGAAATTTTTTCATCTTACTGATACAAAGTGTTACTTATACATACATATATATATGTATATATATATGTGTGTGTATATATATATATATGTATATCCTGATGTTATCTGGTCAAAATGCTTGTTTTCATATCAACTATAGTAGTGAAAAAAATGTGCCTTCATCTCTCGTATTAAGCCACGGGCTGTAAATCTTTAGCGAAAAGTAATATTCTTGAAAACTATTTTCAACCACGTGATACATAAGGTTGCAGCAATTTCTGGATAAGTAGGGTCCTAAAAGTTATGCTTGAGATGTGATTAACTCCTCTGGGGCACATGCTTCTATGTTAAAAGAAGAAAAAAAAAATTAATTTTTTTATTTGCCCCCTCTTTATATAGTTGCTGGAATAATTGTCTAAACCAAAGTTACACTGCCCATCTGAGCAAAATGGTTTGTTTCTTCTCGCAGCAATGTTCCAAATTTACTTATTTCTATGCTTTATCTATTTTATTGAATTAAATTCCTTAGCTTTATCCAATTAGTATGTGTAGTTTCCATATTTTTTAGCATATATCATGGCACGAATCAGGACTTAAACCGTGGGTTCAATTCCATGTCGAAACCATTTTTTAATAGTTTGAGACTGAACCAAACCGTTTAAAAAACAATCGAGTTTGCATTGTAATATATATATATATATATATATATATATATATATCTAAAGAAAAAAACAAAGACATAATGA